GCTAGGACTACCAGTCGGGCCCAAGTCACACCGTTTTCTTTTCGCGATGTCCAAGTCCTCACGTCCAGTTGAAGCACCGCACTCCTCGACGCCTAGGCTGGGTATGCAGCCTCTGAAGCCACATGCTGCAGGGGCGATAGGAGCTCTACAAAACATTCAGGTTTCTAACTGAACCCCTCTTCAACATGACTCAATTGGTCCTCAGGCCAAGGTGGGAGCTTTGCGAATGAGAAGCCACTGGGCACCCGAGGGACCCTATGGCCCTAAAAGATCTGGGCCCTCAGCGGGGTGGAAAAGAACTCTCAAGCACCTTCTTCCGACCAGCATCACAGCAATGACGCAGTTCGTGATTTAGAGTCTTTAGAGCCATTCAGCCTGCAGAACATAAAGAGGGACATGTGATTCTACATGTGATTCTGTTCCACTTGCATCCGACAGGCTGTCTAAACACTTGCCAGATTAAGACAGCGTGCTTGTCGGCCTAGCTTTTGCGCCGCAACTTGTGACGTTAAATGCTTGCGAATACCCTAGAAAACCCTACAATGCGATGTTGCCGATGTGCTTCTGGGAACATCTGCTAACAGCTGAATCAAATGCAGCCAACGTGCCCGCAAACCACAAAAAAAAACATTGGAATGATAGCACCAAACTTGCTTGGTCTCGGAATAGATGAACTACCTTTTGTGTATTCATGACTCTTGTTCACGTGTCGCGTCTAAGAATGATCGGCTATACGTGTGCTAGGACTGGGATATGCCTCGCAGTTTCTGCAGCAGGGGCGCTCGTTGCACACGGAGATTTGCTCCTAGGAAGAACTGAGACAAATCAGAATACCTATCGCATTACTGCATGTCATGATGAGCAAGCAACGGCAATTAGCATTACTCAACATATCTTCTCATGGCTTGCAAGCTATGGCTTCTACAATTGGTTAAGATCGTCACATTCCTGATTATAACTGTCGTGAGGGCTCCTAGTCATGTGTGCGGTACTGCTTTTACTTGCAGACTTGAACACAGCTGTAACCTCCGACACCCACCACAGCCCGCACGATCACGAGCACCAGCGCCACACCCGCATGCACGAGCAGCAGCACATGCTGATGATCCATTCCAATAGATTGCACGTCCACTTTCTGCAGCGCTGAGTGACGATTTGGCTGAAAATACTTGGTACTGCCCCTCCACACTCAAATACATTCAGGCTTTAGCAGCAAGAGTTTGTCATTGCTGTTGGAAAAAACACATTGATAGGCCATGCCCTAACACGGGTCACCAGCGTAGCCTCAGCAAACAAGATCCTTCATCAGGACAAGACCCCGCACATGTCCATACTTGGTACGCATGTAATGCTTGCTGGCCGCGCTTGTCCCACTGACCGCATGTTGGATCCTAGCTAACCTGCTAAATCCTCTTGAGTGTCGCTGCTGTTGATGCCTCTAGCAAAGATCAGAAGTGTCTCAAAATTGCAGAATCCCCCGTTTATGGGGATTCTAAGATGAGAAATCCGCAGATGCTGTTGGAATGTACGGGGGTCCAAAGCTCAGGACCTATGATTTAGAGAAACTCTATATCAATGCTAACGTAAGTTAATTGTCTTCTGAAGCATATAGGCATGCCACTGTATCAATATCAACGTCGCAGAAAGCATTGCCGCATCAGCAAAACAGGACGTAATACAGTCAGAGCACAGTAGGGGAACATGAAAAGTATGGATGAACAGCACATGTCAGAGCAGAAACGTGAAATTCATGGACAGCCTAGCCCTTTCTCAATGCCGCACTTGAGGAAACCTGCTTCGCCCGACCTAACCTAAACAAAAACTGGGTGGAAACCAGCATACACCTAGGTAACCGAAGCCTAAATCGCCCTATACACAACATATCAACAGCGTCGAGGTACCATATGGGCAAAGTCCACCCAGTAGGTTCGGCCATCCACTGCGATGGCTTGAAGCGGGCAGCCTCCAATTTAGGTTCGGGAGCTTCCAAAAATTAGGGATACCATTTCGGGGGTAACTCTAAAAAGGCTTCTAATATTTTGGTGTCTTAATTGGGGCCCCCCTCACTTTGGGAATCTACCATTTGCAGCTTCGGAGTTCAAGGCTTGGGGCTAAGCATGAGGGATTTGGATTTTGGGAGAGTGTCGTAAACTTGCGGGTCCTGCTTTGGGGCCCTTATGATAAGGACAACAACGGTTTTTTGCAAAATGCGGGTACCCCAATGAATACAGGGAGCATACTTTAGGATGAATACAGTTGTCAGTTTGAGAAACTCCCCCCATGCCTCTTGGGTGGTATATGTGGACTTCGAACACTCATACGCACTCTGTGTATGCCTCATGCAGCTATGCATAGTCCCCACAAGACAGAGACCTGGGGCTTAGGGGCTTCGAGTTCAAGGTTTAGAGTTTGGGCTTGTTGGGGTTCAGGGCCGAGTGAGTGGTCGCAGGGACATCAACAACAAGAAATGACGGCGGAAGATTCTCCCCATGCTTCGTTCTAAAAGCTTTGGACATAACACCAGCAACAACTATATAATGCTAGCCGTACTCGCAATCAAGCAAACATGGTACGTGATATGCATAACATCATACTGGCTTGCCACTTTATGACCATTTGCCATTCCCGGTTCAGGCAGCTGCTTGCCACTAGTGACCCAACAAGATGTCAGCAGCCCCTTGCTACCAGAGGATACCTGCAACTACAAAGCAGCAGCGCTTTCAAGAAGAAGTTTCCTGACTTGCTGGTGTATCATCAGCGTTCTGCGCTATGGTGCTTACTGTTAGTCCCACTCGTGTCCTTCTTTGGATGCTGCTGCTCTTCTGGCTGTTGTAAGTTGTAATGTTGTCCCAATTTGCAAAGTTTGTTTTTGTTCTTGGCTTTCTTTTCCTGTTACTTCGAGGCCTCAAGGGAGAATAAGGATCTGGGGGGCGCGGGCTCTAACTTTGTCGCATGGCTACTTGTCATTCTTAGCTTTACCCAGAGCCATCGCCGCCGGCAAAGCATCAAGATTAGGAAGGGTGCATGCCCGAACTTATGCTGCTACATGGGACTTCGTCGAAATTGGCGTTCGCAGCAACGTGGGGAACCTATCGACACCAGCAGATTGCAAACTTACAAAACCAAATAATCCTCTCCTGGCTCCGGGCCTGTTAGAGGGTTTATCGGCTAAAGGGTTTTCGGGGCTTAAATACCGTGCAGCGCAGGCTGGTTTTCAAATAATCTTGCAATCTATCCCGGGACGATCAGCTTGAAGCCAATATAGTGGTGTATAACTGTCTAACTACCCTTATACTGTTAGGGCTCGGACACAATCTCCGGAAATGGGACCTTTGCCTCCCACTATCTCAGTTGGAGCTGTCGGCCGCACTATCATACTACAAGATTACAATACTATAATACTATAAATACACAAGAAAACTAGATCTTAAACCTTCTTAACCCCTGGCCCATGCTTGCCACTATCTCAGTGGGAGGTATTGGCCACAGAGTAGGAAAGCACCAGAGACTTCAGATGGCAGGAACACAGGCTTCCCGGTATACCCCAGATGCAGAGATGTCGTTATCAAGAAAATTGGAACGTAAACGCATGTAATTGCATCTTTGCGCGCAATCCTGAACTCAGAAAACCTTTTTTGGCCTGGAAACCTCGGCCCCGCGACCTTCCATACATAGGGCTACATAGGGATTATAGGATGTTGGGATAAGTATATAGGGTTATCTAGGGATTATAGGGTATATATAGCGCTTAGTTAGGGATTCCTATCAACATGGACTGGGAAAAGGTTCCCTGCTTGGCTCGCAGCTTGAAGCTGAATGCCTGCTGAGGACAAGTACGCCGCATAGGACTGCACCAGCAAGTTGTTCACCTGCAAAGGTACCGACATCAAGGATCCCACTGCTGCAATCTCGCAGGCGCAACAGCCATAGCACCTTCTGCATGGATGCAAAAAGGTTCTAACCCCCAGCCACAAGCATGATGAGGATGCCGCATTTTTACGTCAAATGTTGTGCGGCATCTGGAATCCTTTGGGGAGGATCTTGAATGTGGCTCTGTGGACCCTGAATCTGCGCATCGCGAGCACCAGGAGACAGAAGCACCACAACAGACATCATCATGGCTTTTGGCATCGTTACCGGCATCATGCTATCACCGGGTCAAAGCCATCAAAGCCACCACTTCAAACAATTTCAGCGGTCTGGAGAAATCTCGTACTAAGGCAAAGCACGATCCTGGAATACGCGACCTCATCGCTGTAGTAGTGCCACTTCTTCTTGCCGTGACTGCCACCATCCCACTGGAAGTACATCTTGCCATCGCCACTCCTCAAAACAATACCGAATACTTCCATGCCGCAGTTCCTACTTGGGCAAGGGGGGGTATCATTTACATGTCTGGGGTGGCTACCACAACTGCCACAGCCGCGTACCCAATGAAGCAAAAGCAGACTTGCTGGCAAGTGGGTCTGTGGCCTTCGTTGCGGCTCGCAAGGTCCGACGCTGTTCTAGTCGTCGCACTGTCTTCGTGTCGCGGTGGTCGTGGTCATCGTGCTCGTGGTCATCGTGCTCGTGGTCATCGTGCTCGTCGTGGTCGTCGTGGTCGTCTGTCGTGGTCGTCGTCCTAAAGCAATGGTCTGCTTTTGGCTCCCTGCCTGACATGCATGTCTCAACATCGTGCCGCTGCGTGCCAGGCCTCATCTTTTCCTTCGTCACTACGCCTGATGTGTGTTTCACCTGCATGGCCATCTCAAATCCAGCCGCTACAGGTATCCCTTTTGGTGCCATCTATCGCAACCCCACTACATATGCTTGGTGAAAAGACCATATGACGCGGAGCTTCTGCAAATGATCCTGACGACTGCGTCTTATGCAGAGACCCTGCCATCATGCAACAAAAGGTCTTTAGCTAGCAAAATGAATTCCGATGCCATTTTGCAAGAGAATGCCAAGATACCACAAACTACGTTCCCAAAGTATCATTCAACACCTGGAAATGAATCACATCCTGATCTCCAGGTCCTCAAGAGGACTACCAAAGCCGCACTTTGCTCAAGCTTGGTCCAAGTGGCGGCCAGAGCGAAGCCTGCAGCGAACGCGTTCTGCTTCATGCAACGTAAACGTGCCATTCCCGTTGCTTGAAATTAACCATATAATTAGTACTATCAATTTATAACATATGGTACGAAGAAGTATTGATGTTCTCAATATTTTGAAGATTGCCCATATATCTGGGTGTATTACTATGGTTACAATTACTACAACCATGGCTAACGCATCATGCCAGGGGTGCACACAGAACCATGTGTAGAGTAATTACCATCAGGACTGGTAGAGCCATGATTTACTAAACAGGAATCTGAACCCAAAAGCCCCACACACTAAACGCTACAAAGCCCTGAATACTAAAGCCCCAAGCCTAAGCCCCAAAACCTTAAACCCCTGAACCCTAAAGCCTACGGTAACTTCCATTTTCTTTTCCATTATGCCTATATAACTATACATATATAACATGTAGCCCTACACCTGGAGGCCTGGTTGCAGTGCTGTTTAGGTTGGGGCTGCGTCTTTGGCGGCCACCAGATTTCAGCACGGGCGCCCGTGCCTGGAGCTAAGTGGGCTTTGGAAAATCTCAAGGTAGGGGCAGCCGTATGGATCTCAGGCATATACCAGGATTCATGAGGCTGATAGGCGCGGTCCCATGAGGGATCGTGAATATGGAGGGGTTTGGGGTGCAACAAGGCGCGGGCCCACAAAATTCCTTGAAGTGCAAAATTTGCCGCAAGAATGACCCAGGTGCTGAAGAGGTTCTGGAAAAATCCTGCGGAGGTCCAAAGCCAAAGACATGCGGTCATGTCGTCTAGAGCTTCTGGGCTTGGGGTTAAGGGTCGAGGGCCGAGGGTTTGGTTCCGCGACCTGCAATCTCCGAATATCTCCGAGACACATGATTTATGATTTCAAGTGAACAACAATGCCTGCAACACTTTGTATGAAGACAAAACGTCCCTTCCGCCCACCCCACCAGGCATTTGACTCTGCCCACCACATCCCACCGCGCCACCCAGCATTCCTGTCATGACAGCGTCCGCATTCCGTGAAGTCACATCCAAGTTTTGAAACAATAAAATTCTGCCTTATCCTGTTCTGACAGGGCCAAGCGATGCTGCAGAAGAGACCCACATAGTTACAACGCTCGCCATGGAAGGTGTGGAATTGTCACAGGAGAACCTCACCATGAAAGGCGATGAAACGCCCTAGAAGAGGCCTGCGCCTTTGTCGCCCCTTGCATAAATCATGAAGGAATTCCTCATGTCTCTTTCCAAACTAGGCGCTTACAGGATAGTTAATTACAAGCAAATATCGAACGCATCTTCATCCCACGGTTCATCCTTAAACCCTAAACCCCTAAATAGTAGTTTCCATGTTCTTTTCCATTTTCCCGATATAACCCCAATAAATACCCTATAATCCCCCATATAACCCATTATTATAGTCAAAAAGGATCGGATGGAAGGCAGCGCGTCCTGCGTGCACAAAGGACGCATCGAAATAGCTGTGATGGGATCGATTCCGCTTCTTGGTGGGCCTCGAAGGGGCTCCAGAAAGTATCAAGATTCTAGGGCTCTTGGTTGGTATTATCTCCAATATGATGCCTCCTCACCGGAAGGACGTGCAGAAACAGTAGTAGGGATCCTACTGGGATCAGTAGGCCATATTTTGGGAAGAGCGCGCCATCTTTCCAGGAAAGTCTGGTTCTTGGAAGCTTACTCCCAACAAGAAACTGTCATGGCAACATCCAGAATTGAGCATTAAGGCACTGAGTGGCGAATTCGTTGAGTCTTATTCTGCTATGGCAGAGACTTCAGCAGGTTCACTTCAATTTTGATAGAAATTCGGAACCTGTGCTCCATATCATGTCGTTCAAGAGCTCAATGTGCCTGAAATCTTGCTCATCCGGCTCCAGCCATCGAATGCTGACCTGAACCAGGCGCGGCTTGATATGTACCTTCATCCCTTTTATCAAAACTATAGCAGTACCCCTGTGACGAACACTGTCGGACCTCCTGAGATTTCCTGCGCCTCTACCTTCAACATAAAAGCCATGACCATGAGGATGTAATTAGAAAATCTGTCAGATGACATGAATCAGAACAGTGGCACTCACCACAATTCTAGGCACAACGACAGACCCTCAATCCTAAAACCCGAAACTCTAGCATCCGACCCTTTATGCTAGCCCGAGGGCACTAAGCACTAAACACAGAAAGGCGGGACCCCAAACCCTCGCGCCCACATCTTGAAACCTGCCACATGTTATCAAGCCTTTGACTCCAAAACCCACAACGCCATCAAACCCGAAGACTTAGGCTTACAAGTAGGGAATGGCGGAATAGATCTGCACTCGTATTTTCCATGTTTTGAAAGTATCCTTAAACCACCCTCTATGTTGATGTAAAACCCTAGATCACCCTGTATAAACATCATATACCCCTAAGCTTACACCCCTACCCACAGTGTGAAGAGGAAACGTCACAGGCCTGGGGGAGGCCAAGCTGAAGCTGGCGCCGATTCAGAGCCTGCAACAAGCTTCTGATGGATCTTTTGGGTGCTTTGGGGCAACAGCTGAGTCTTTGAGAGTTTCAGGCTGCCCAAATGCTCAGGATTTAGGCATCCAGGCTTTGGATTGAGGTTTTGGGTGAAGAAGTCAGGGCGTAGGATTGATGTATGATTAATTGATGTTTTGGACCTCTGCTGTAAGGTTCTGGCTCAGGGGTTTGAGATTTGAACACAGACGTCTTCTGTTATGTCGATGGTCACTTTGCAAGATTCAGAATGGCGATTTGGTCTTACTTCAAGCCTGTGCGACACACTTTCAGCGATAAAGTCACCTCGGGGATTAGTTCCGGAGTCGAGTGCCATCATCTTGGATTCCGTGTCACGGCCAGCCCCCAAAAGTCCAATACCCTTTCATCTACTAACATTTGTCAGACCATCTCAGAACGCTGGCAGCTTTCAGAGATCTTGAATTGCAAGGGGGCCTTCGCTTTCTGGACGCACTTCCTTCCGCAGTCCATGGTTGGTTATCTTTCTGGAAAATCATGGGCTGTCGGACGCAAGTTTTGGATGCTTAGGTGTCAGAAGAGAACCTCCCGTGTGGGGCTCGTGGCTTGAGAGTCTTGGATCAGAGCTGGCCTGTGCACGTTCAGGTAATGAAATTACCACTGCAAGGACCTCTATAAATAGGGCAAACAGGGTCAAGCTGAATACTGAACCCTAGCTCCTCTGCCTCTTCCAAGATCAAGGCCGTCAAAGTAATGTGCACGCATGCATCAACATGTACACATCGACATTTACATCTAGATGTATGTACATTTACATGTACATTTACACGTACATTGACAGTTGCATATATATATATATGTACATCTACATTTACGTTTACGTACGAGTCGGCTTTTGCATGTGACTATATAGCGTTATGCGCACTATACTTATGTAAATATGTGTGTATTGCAATACTCCACTAAACACCAAACAATCCCAGTGAGCGCAGCGACTGGGACCAAATGCACCAAACATGGTCCTACTCCTTTGTACTGAAAGTCCACTCATGCTTTTCAGAGCCACAGAGGATCCTAAGAAAGCACAAGATTATGACATTTCGGACTGACAACCAGCAGTCTACAAGCGTTGGGTCCGCCTCCAAGATCTGCTGCGCGTCCCGCGGGTCAGATTCCTCTACAACTCGTCTGACTGTCAGGGTTCGAGTCGGAAATGGTTTAGAGATATTTGTTGCTCTCCTGTTCCAATGGGGCTAGGATGTTCAATCTGCTCAGGCGACAGTAGCAGTGGTTGCAGCAATCCTCCTCTGCCTACTGCGGCTATGACTGCTACTATTTCTAGTGCTGCCGCCAGCTTTAGCAATTGCAGTACTACTCTTTTCGTACATGTAGTCGTCAGCAGCTGCTGCTGCTGCTGCTGCCGCCGCCGACCTCCCGCTGATTCCACTCCTCCCTCCATCATCCCAACTCCCAATTCCGCTACTTCTTTTGCCGATGTGGAAAACAACACCACCACCACCACCACCGCCGCCGCCGCCGCCTCCGCCTCCGCCTCCACCTCCACCTCCACCTCCACCTCCACCACCACCACCACCACCACCACCACCACAACCAGCTGAAGCTGGCGGCTGTATCCCTGGTCCCTGAGACTATTCCCTGGTTTGCATATGCCACGTAGTCTGTGACAGCTGCGGCAACTGAACATGTCAAGGCCACACTCAGGTTTTGCAAGGACAATGGAATAGTTGCAG